GATCCGTGCGAGAAAATGCAGAGCAGAGTATACCGGTACACGTGCAGTACAGTAGCTGCAGACAAAGCGATGCGCAGGATACCAGCAGACGTGCTGAACTAACGCGCTGAATCACCAAGTGACCGCGCCTCGCCTAGGAAAAGGCGCAGTAGCGCCACGAGAAACCCTAGCGGCGGTCCGTGGTATTTCCGACCGCCAAGAGAGGCGGCGTGGCCTGGCGGTCGTGCCACTAGAGTACTTCTAGTTCACTATAGCCTAGGTAACGCCTCCTCTAGAAGATGCCTGCCGGATAAGAAGAAAAGCGGCTGCCACACCCTTTTCCTCCTTCATTTTAAATGTTTTCGGTCGCTAGCGTCACCTGTGGCGAACGGCGACACACCGCAACACTTTGCATAGCCTCCGAAACAGTGGCGCACAGTCGCAGGTCTTGAACAACTTTCGACTGACGCGCGTTGTGATAGTGGATGAATGAGTATGGTTGTACCCTTTAGATGAGGCGGTGGCTAGCGCCACTAAGCCTTAATACCTAATGAACAAAAAACTAGATTTATTATTTTTTTTCCTTTAAACAGTGAGTTTGAAGATTCGTACTTTGCAGTGAAGAGTTTAATTTTCAGTCGTGCCTTGAATTTAGCCACCAATCAGATAACCTCCTTCTAGTTAAGTCTACCCGCTTAAAGTCCATTTTGCCCTCCTGGTCATTAAACCCCAGTGCTTTGAAAAACTCTGCGCCATCATTCTGAACTATAGGGTGAACCCCTTTACAGAACATTATCAAGTGTTTGGCAGTTTCTTCTTCCTCTCCACACGCACTACATACTGTGTCTACCCCTTCGTATTTGGCCCGATATGTCTTGGTTCGCAATACTCTCGTCCTGGCCTCAAACAGTAGAGAACTACCCCGAGTATTATCATAGATCCTTTCCTTGGCAATTTCCTGCTTAAATGTTCAATAGATCTCTAGTGTGGACTTCTTAATCATGCCCATTCTCCACATGTCAGTCTCCGTTTCCTTCACTTTCTGCTTTACCGATAGTTCTTTTTGGTTTGGCCACCTGCTGTTTTCTAAGTATTTACCAGTCAATTTCCTGGTTCGCTTCCTCCATTTTGTATCGACATTCTTCATGTACAAGTAGCTAAAAACCTTCCTAGCCCAACGCTCCTCCGCCATTTCTTTCAATCGCTTCTCAAATTTTATCTTGCTGCTAGCTTCCCTGCCCTCAAATGATGTCCATCCCATATCACCTTGTACTCCCTCATTTGGCGTACTCCCGTGAGCTCCTAAAGCAAGCCTACCTATTCTACGTTGCTTAGTTTCTAATCTTGCTTGAACTTCTGATCTCATGCACAAGACCGCATTGCCGAACGTCAGCCCAGGAACCATGACCCCTTCCCATATTCATCTCACAACATCATACCTATTGTAATTCTACAGTGCTCTATTTTTCATCAATGCTGCATTGCTGTTACCTTTAGTCGTCACGTATATTTCGTGTTCCCTCAGGTACTCGGTCCCATTGCTTATCCATACGCCCAGCGCCCAGATATTTGTATTTGTCTGTTATCTCTAGCGTGACCTCCTGTATTCTAAGCTCACTACCTTCGTTGTCATTGAAGATCATGACCGCTGATTTTTCCTTACTGAATCTAAAATCTAACCTATCTCCCTCATTACCGCAGATGTCCATCAATCTCTGCAAATCTTCCTTGTTGTTGGCCATTGGCACCATATCATCTGCGTACATTAATGCTGGTAGTGCCTGATCAATGAGTTTTCCTTGTTTGAATAAAGAGAGGTTGAAGCCCAGTCCACTTCCCTCTAATTTGGCCTCTAATCCTTGTAGGTACTTCATGAATAATAAGGGTGACAGGGGACACCCCTGCCTAAGCCCCCGTTTTACCTCTGCAGGCTTGGATACCTGTTTTTCCCACTTTATAACTACCTTGTTACCTTTATAGATATCCTTTAAAAGATTAGTGACTACATGTTCCACGCCTAGTGTATCCAGTATTCCCCACAATTCCCCTTGAACCACGCTATTGTACGCTCCCTTGATATCCAAGAGTGCTAGCCACAGGGGCCTGTGTTCCGTTTCTGCTATTTCGATGCACTGCGTCAGTGAGAGCAGATTGTCTTCCAACGTCCTGTGTTTCCGAAACCAATTCCGCACTTCCCTCAGCACCCCCTCATCCTCTATCCATGCCTGCAGTCTTTCCTTTACAATCTGCATCGCCAGCCTGTAGACCACTGATGTCACTGTTATAGGACGGTTGTTGTTTATGTCAGCTTTGTCCCCCTTTTCTTTATAGATCATGCTCATCCTGCTAAGTTTCCATCCATCGGGAACTTCACCATCGATTATTATTTTGCTCACTGCCTCTCTCAAAGCCTGCTTAGACTTCAGACCTAATGTCTTTATCATCATAATTGGAATGCCATCTGGGCCTGTTGATGTACTACTAGGAACCCTTTTCTCCGCCCTTTCCCACTCTCGTTGTGAAAATGGAGCCATTGCACCACTTGATTCGTCCTTGTCTGTTGTCGTGCATAAAGTACTTCTTTGTTGAAATTTTTCTGTCACCCTTGTTCTTATATATTCATTAGCTCCGTCCCCTTGTAGCCTAGCACCTTCGGCTGTAGTTATAAAACTCTGCTCTAGGCTCGTCTCATTTCTTAGGGAGTTTAGATGGTTCCAAAATTTCACAGCTGCCTTTCTATCTACTTTATGTACTTCTGCCAGCCACTGAGCTCCCTTTCTTCTAATCTTTTCATTGATCAGAAGGAATGCATCCCTTCTACAGCTTAGAAAAATTTCCCATTTTCTTTCAACATCATCTGTCGGTTCACCCCGCTGCTTTGCATGTCTGTGTTCCCCAGAGGCTTCCTGACGTTTTGTTATGGCTCTGTTAACTTCCTCATCCCACCAACTTTTGGGTTTGTGTCTTCTTTTCCGGGGTGACTTGTCACGCGTCTTAGCAAGCTCTAGCTCAAAGAGTCTAATTAGATTCGTGTATGTACACACTGTCTTATTATCCTCCGTGATTATTTTCTCAATTTGTTTAGTGGCTATTTCGATTTGCCTTTCTGGATAAAAATTTTCCTGTAGTTGCTCATCTTGTCTCTTTCCCACTTTCACTGCTCTTCCAAAACTTAGCTTGATACGTTTGTGATCACTACCCAGACTTCTGGAGCCACCTTAATCTATGTGCATTCCCCTGAGCTTATCATACATCCTATGTGACATCAGTGCATAATCTATCGTCGACTGCAGCCTTCCTACCTCCCATGTTATTTGCCCTTCACACTCCTCGGTACTGTTGCAAATGATCAAATCAAGCCTTTCACACATATTCATGATCATTTTGCCTGTCGGGTCGGTATAACCATCTATATCTTCTATGTGCGCATTCATGTCTCCTAGTATAATTATCTCGCACTCTCTTCCCAACTCCTGAATGTCCTTTGATATACACTCTGCCTTTGCCTGGTTTTCCTCTCTGGCCTTTGCTCCCGTCCACAAATACACGAAACCAAGGAGTGTCATTTGCCCTGCCGCTTTCCCTTTTAGCCATAAATGTTCCTAGCACTCCTGCTTGACCCTTTGCCAGTCTGTACTTTTATGGATGGATGGCCCAATACCACCCCCCTTTCTGCTGCCTTCTGTTTCATTACAATATTTCCACGCGTAGTCCGGATTGTTCGGAGGTTGTTCCATGTCCCTGAGATGTGTTTCTACAAAACCGTATACCATCGGCCTCTCTTCCATTAGCTGTTCTTCTATCTCTTCCCACTTCAGCCTGTTCCTACTACCCTGCATGTTAATATACCCTATGTCTGAATTGGCTCGGCGCTCGTGGCTACGTTTATTTCTGCCCCGGACTCTACCTATCTTAAATACTGGTGCCACTTTGGAATCGTATCTGTCCATACCACCTTTCAAAGAGTCTCCCTGGTTGTTTTCCTCGTTACTAGCTATCCTGCACCCCGAAGGGCTCGCTTGCCCCCCAAAAAAGCTACTGCGCGTCCTGCAAGTCGCCAACCCACCTCATGACCTAGCCGCCCATCAAAGTGAATTCTGTCTCGTTGAAAACCACCCGACCTATGCACCTCTCTGTTTATTTCCACCTCCTCAAAGCCTTTCTCTGGACTCATCCGCCATATCGCTTGGTTTGCGTTGACAACTGCTCTTTGCAGGTTGCTATCACGCACCGGTACCTCCGGTATCGTGCGTATAGCTACCTGTACCTGAGGAGAAGTGGCGCGCATGTCATTGACGCCTTTCACCAGTGTGGTTGCTAGTCCTGCTGTATCTTCATTTAAGACATCGTTTAAACCGCCTGAAATTATCACGATGTTTCTTCTATCAGCTGTAGTTTTGAGTTTTGCGCTCGCTTGCCTCATGACTGCTTCAAGCTTGCGTCCTGGGAACGCCCCTATTGAAACCCTCTTGTCACCTCTTACCCTCTCTTTGATGGCTTCTGTGCATCGATTTTAATTCGAGTCCCCGGCGATTATCACATGCTCTGACTTTTCAGCTGGAGCGTCCTGCACCTGGGGGCTACTTGCACCTGTGACGCCGGCTGCTTTGTCCCCTCCCAGCCCCACCACTACCTCACTGAAGCTGGGCCTTGCGACAATTGAACCGGCTGAACCTGTTTTTTCCAAACTTGCTTGCTCTTCCTTCTCCACCGTTCTGGTTGCCGGTTCCCTACTGCTCTCTCCGTAGGCCGCTTCTTTGTTCAGCTTCGCTAGTGCTTCCTTGGTGGACTTCAGTCTTTCTCCTATTGCCCTCGTTTTCTCTTGCTCTGTCGCCAACGCAGTCTCGAGCTCGGCGATTCTCATCTGCAGTTCACTCTGGGCAACCATCATTTTCTCCATTTTTTCCTCGACCTCACATTACCTACACTTCGCGCCAGCCTCGGTCGCGAGCGCCACCGCGCGGCGCTTGCTCAAAACTGAAGGCAGGCCAACTCCGCTGGGAGCACGAGCCATTCCCCAGGCATTGTTTAGAGGAGGCGTTGGCCTAGGTCTCTCCAACGACACTAAAAAATCTTTCTGAGCGAAGCACGTTCACGCATGAGATAAAAAGCTGTGCGGAAGGCCTTTGTAATTAGTGCTTGCGTTCCAAATAGCTGGCCATGTCGTCTGAGCGGTACAGCTTTTCTCTTACCACATTCAGGTAAGCATGTTAATTTCGTCGACGGATGAAAGCGCTGAACCGTTCGTGCTGCGTCATGCGTGTTGCAGCCCCTCGGGGAAGCTTGTGCAGATCGAGTACGCACTGGCTGCCGTGGCTGCCGGTGCGCCCTCGGTGGGCATTAAGGCGTCCAACGGCGTGGTGCTGGCCACCGAGAAGAAGCACAAGTCCATCCTCTACGAAGAGCACAGCATTCACAAAGTGGAGATGATCACCAACCACATCGGCATGGTCTACAGCGGCATGGGGCCAGACTACAGGTACAGAACATTATCTACCGCTCTTTACTGCTGTTGCGTTCTTCTCAGTTGGCCCCCAACTGTTTATTAAACTCGGTACAGACCACCAGCACTTTGCTGTGTGGCCACTCATACTCGTATGACGAATTCCACTGGGAGAGCAGGAGTACTCAAAAGCACGCTGAAAGTGCTTTCTTTGGAGCCGGCGTGTTTTAGCGGTCGAACAGGTACAGGAGTACTGTCATCCATCGGTAGAGCGACAGTGGTTTCACTGCGCCGTTAGCAGCCAGGAGCAGTTTGCAGTGCTTTCACCTCTGTTGCATACTTTTTTCTTCGTTCGTGCTTTATTGGTCTGGCAGTTGCTTGCTCACCATTTCAGCCTTTGGCAGCTGGAACATTCACCTATTAATTGGGGTCGGGGAGGGGGAGGGGGCACTGGTAAAACTGCGCGTGGTGCCACTGCACCCGGTTGGTTTGGTACCCGGTTGGTTGGAGGCTGCGACGTCTTTCTTCACCGTTTCCGTCACGTCCTGGCGAGCGGCCTTCTGCGAAAGCTGAGTGAGCACTCGGGGGTTTCGTCTAAAGGTCGGGGTGTCTAAATAATAAAGGTTGTTAGACAATTTACAGTTTGTTTTGCTAGCTGATCTGATGTCGACAAACTCTCCAGGTGGCGGCCTGGGGCGGTGTCCACCTTGATCGGCCTCTCTTCCACCTGATCAAATGCCACTTGAAGTGTTTTTTCGCAGTGGTGTAAACAGTATTCCTGTAGCTCTAGTGCCCCTGCAATGAGGATCAATTCGGCTTACCAACCCGAAAGCGGTACAAGCTGAACTCCAGTCAGCCACGCCCCACTACTTTTATATTGCTGATGTTCGGCAGTTTGGCAAAGGTGGGCTAATTTGTAGATTGCCTGACTAAGCTTGTGTGCATGATCTTCTGAGGTGCTCGACATTCGATCGATGAAAGTGAAAGCTTTCATCCCGCCACACTTTGCATGCACCAAGGGGATTGTTCGCGGCGTAGATACTAGTTTAAGCTCAGAAAATACACTCGAGAGGCTTTCTGCGGCTAGTGCGATAGCGATATACTAGTGCAAGAGAACAATAGACAACAAACGGGTCCCGGCTGAGTTGGTGGTAGCCACATTTGCCGGTATGTCATGCCCTTCGGAAATCAGTGTGGCCTTTGATTTTTAGAGTAGACCCGCTTGCTTCACGTCCATTACAATGTCTCAACTGCTGGCGCTATGGCCATAGTATGGGAGGTTGCAAATCTGCTTGCGCTGTTGTTCTTGTGATGAGGGTCACTCCCTGGACGACTGCCCTGCTCAAGTCCTCAGGTGCTGCCTGTGTGGAGGTGCACACAAGGCTGATAACCCTACACGCCCAGCTAGAAACCGTGAGATAAAAGTCTTAGAGATAATGGACTAAAGGCGATGAAAGAAAGCGATAAAAGAAAGAGGACATGGTTATGCTAGCGGAACTGCACGTCACCAGGCAATGATTGAGATGAATATTTCGCAAGTGATCGCAGAATCGGTCGAGAAAGCTGTGGCAAAACTGATGGAACGGGTCATAGAGACTGTGTCCGAATGCCTTAGTGTACTATTAGCGTCACAAATGAGGCTATTACCTCAAGTGGGTAGTGTTCCGACAGTGGGTCACAGCCAAGGAAATGTTCCCTCACAAGTAGATGGTGTTCAGACTATGCCCTCGAATGTCCTATGTCCTAGTTATAGCTTGTCTGCAAAGATTGGTAGCTTTTCAGACTCGCAAGTCTACCATGCAGATTTATAGGAATGTGCAAGCATGGGTTGACCCGCGTGCACAGAAACAAGGGGGGCCTCCGCTAAAGATTTTCGATGCCTTTACTAACTAAAAATCAGAGTTCTGCCTCAGGTCAAGGGTACAGCTAACATTTTAGAAGAGGCTGTAGCCTTTACAGTGCTTTTGTCATCGAAAGGTATATGAGGGTGCTGCAGTGGAACTGTTGATCTGTATTTGCTGCTTCCACTGATCTCAACGTTTTAATTTCTCAAATTCATCAAGATGTTATCATATTACAAGAAACTTGGTTATCTCCAGATAAATTCTTTAATTTATTTCATTTATTTTATTTATTGAATACTGTGGACGAAAATCCAAGCAGGGTGAGCATACATGAAACACTATAAATAACAGAATGAAACAAGGTTGCAAAGCGTTTTTACACAATTTCTTTGCATATAAGTCAGAGGGGTTATGAGTTTAAAAAAAAGTAACAATTGAATAACTAGGTGATAATACAATTCTAAGGAAGTCATGGAAGAATAGTATTTACACAAATGGTCTAGGGCATTGAGGAAATGCTTTGGTTAGTTCATTCCAATCATCTATTGTTTGTGGGAAGGAGTACCGAAAAATATCAGTCCTTGCGAAGATTGGCATTAGGGAATGAGGATAGTGGTGCAGAGTGTGTCTGCTTAACAAGGGGGATACGTATGCTGCGGTGTCTAAGGATAGCCTGTGGTTTACTATGTCTGAAAGAAACTGTAGCCGACTTTTTTTTTCTTCGAATTTGTAATAGTTTTATACCATTTGCCGTTAGTAATGCAGTGGGGGAGTCGGTTGACATAAATTTACTATATATGGATAGAATCGTACTGCTTTTCTTTGAATTCTTTCTAGGTTTTGAGCGTTAACTTTTGTGTGGGGATCCCAAACTATGGAGGCATACTCAAGTTTAGGCTTAATTAAGGAAAAGTAGGAGAGGAGTTTAACACTAGGCGGAGCAGTTTTAAGCTTGTGGCGGAGAAGGCATAATTTACGGAAAGCGGCAGAGCAGATGTTATTTATGTGCCAATTCCAGGATCAGGTACGTATTAACGTTAAGCCTAAGTATTTATAGGAGGCTACTTTAAGTAAAGGTGCTTCAGCTAAATTGTATGTGTAGTCTAATAGGACTTTTTTGCGTGTTATGGGGAGATACACACATTTGTTTGCATTAAGAAGCATTCCCAATTGTTCACACCTTTTTGATACATTGCCTAAGTTAGTATTAAGGTCACATTGGTCACTAATGCAGGTTACATCTCTGAACAAAACACAATCGTCAGTTAATATACGAATTTGTACCGGGGTGCTAATTACATCGATAATGTTAATAATGTAGACCAGAAACATAAGGGGGCCTAGTACGCGTGACTTGTGGCGCTCCCCTGCGGAACGCCAGAAGTCACCGGAAGGCAGCCCGATAGTTTTTCTCCTACCTGAACATATTGGTTGCGATTGAGTAGATAAGCTGAGATCCAGTAGATAAATAATTCTGGTATGCCAACTAACTGAAGCTTTATAATTAGTTTATCATGTGGAACTGTGTCGAATGCTTTATTGTAGTCTAAGAATATTGCATCACTTTGGCTCTTAGCATGAAGACAAGGTGCAAAGGTATGAACGATAGTAACCAATTGTGTTGTAGTAGAAAATCTTTTTCGAAACCCATGTTGATTATTTGTTAAAACTGAGCGTTCTTCTAAGAATTCATTTAATTTATGAGCTATTATGTGTTCGATAAGCTTACAGCATGATGTTAAGGAGAGTTAAGGAGATAGGTCGATAATTTTGTAGTACTAGACTGTCACCTTTCTTGAATGTAGGAACAATTCGTGCTTACTTCCAGTCATCTGGCAATTCCGCTGACAACAAAGAAACGCGAAAAACGACGACTAAGTATTTTGCAACAGGCGCTGCAAAGCGACGCAGAAATATGTTGGGGATATTGTCGTAACTGTAATCTGTAACTATCGACCATTTCGGTTAGATCATCCATCCAGAGCAGGTGGTTTACTCACTCTTCTGTCTAATTCTGCCATAAAGCAAGGCTATCTCTTCAGCTTATGGCTAGAGAAAGTGAAATATTAAATGTAGAACTATTAGCAGGAGGTTTCAAATGTTCTCTGGTAATGCATATTTTTCTTTGGGTGTACTAAATACTGTAACTAGATTCAGTTCTTCTACTAAACTGTGAAAAAAGATTGTGCTAGCTGATTATGGGGATTTAGAACGAATCAGAATGGAAAACGTCTATGTGACTGGGCGGCATCGAACAATTTCGCCTGTCATAACACTCGATCATTAATATTTTTACGGGGCCATTCCCGGTCAGTGCTAGATCTTATGTTTTCGGGTCCAGGACGTTCGGTGCTGTCCTGGGAGACTGGACACTTGTTAGATTAGCGACCACATTCCATTGATATTTGTTATTCATGGGTCACTGCATAATGCACAGTCTATCGTTCGTTCGTTTATTGATCACGATAGGATTATAATGAATATACAGGCAATTTTCACATCTTTGGCTGACATTCCATAGAGTGCAGGTAATGTTTGCGATATTCTTGACTCTGCTCGTAAGAGGTCGGAGATCGAAATACAAGGAAGGAAAGACCCTACAGCTAATATTTGGTGGAATGACAACTGCTTGAGGGACTATAAGCGCCGGAAAGCAGCGTGGAAGCAACTTGTGCATAATCAGTCTCCTAGTAACTGGAACAACTACAAGTATATTGCAGCAAGTTTCAAGCGTACTGTCACAAAAGTAAAAGATGAATATGTTTGCCATTTTGAGTTCTTTTCAAAATCACACAAGTAAAGTGCATTGTTCCGGTATCTCGGATCTATCAAATTAATTCCACGTCCCTTAGATGCAGAATCAATAGTGCATACTACGCAAGAAATAGAAAACTCACTAGGTGCAATTGCCAAAGGTTTGGAGGCAAGATTTTCTAGCTGCATTGATTCACCTCTTGTGAGACAAGGCACTCGAAAATACTGAAGATATATCATTGTCGGTCCTCTCGTCAGTTATAGCACGTTTACCAGCGGCAGCACCAGGCCCTGATGATATCACTATGAAGATGCTGAATGTTCTTGGATGTTGCTCCAAATGTGTTAATGGATATTGTAAATTATTTTATAAAACACTCTTGGATTCCTTCAGCGTGGAAGGTAGCTAAAGTGATACCCCTGCTTGAAGATAAGAAC